CCCCAAAACCCCAAAACCCCAAAACCCCAAAACCCCAAATAAGAAGATTTGTATTGGATAAATAGTATAATAAATAGATATAATTTAATGCGAATGTGATAATTTTATAAAAGCATTTATATTAATATTTTTAAGAAAATATATCAATAGCTCAATTTCAAGCTTTAATGACTAACGACACAGCTACCTCTTCAACTCTGCCTCCAATCATTACAAAAGAGTGCACTATATCTAACTACCAAAAAAGCTAACCAAAAGAGATTGCTCATAGTCTGATTGGCAAGAATATTAAGAATAAGACAATCACATATCTTAATGAAAATACTTATGTCAACGCCAAGGATTAAAATATGTCGAAAAAGCACAAAATTATTATTCCTTGTGAAGTCAGCGAATTTGAGGAAAACTATAACTAAACTGCTCCAAGATGCATTGAAGAGATTAATGAAAAAGAAAGATTCTAAATTCAGTAGGAAAGTAATCTTCATTAGATAAAAAACTATAACAATAGAATTAATTAGAAATCTTACCACAAGATAGAAAACCTAGGAAAACCATATAAATCATAAATACGAAATCATGAGTTCATTTAAAACATAAAATAAAGTATTAAACAGTAAATCACTGAAAACAAAATTAATTGGAATAATTTTAAAGTAAATAGAACTCAAAACGAATTAAGCTCTAAATAAATTTATAGAGAAAATGAATTCTTGAAAAAAGAGCTAGATTTTAAACTTCACATCAGAAGACCTATACATGAAACTTATCTGACAAATTCTATTTTAACTGAGAAAAATCTAGAATATCACAATAAAATAAAAAAAAGTAAGACTTAGGAGTATGATACTCAAAATGATATTAAAATACTTTCATTAAATTCCAGTCTTTCTAAATTCACTGATAACATCTATAAAAATAACAAAAAAGATCATTACTGGTATCTTAGGAATAATTATTGTCAATCAAGAAATGGCTTAAGGTCATATTCTATAGAGCTTCTTATCGAATAGCAAAACCAAGGAGGCGTATCACCTTATCAAGAGAATTGAATCTCAATGAGGTTAGATATATATCCTAACTATCATCGAATAAATTATACTAAAAAATCAACTGTGTGAGAACTTGAAATGTATCCACGCTATCTATAAAGATTAAGTATCAAATTATAGATTATGTGGCTATTATTCAATGACTCATTTTCATCCAATAATATAATAATTAATTTCTTAATACTTACTCTCTCTCATAAATGTAATTAAGCAAGATGGGGTTTTGGGGTTTTGGGGTTTTGGGG